TAAGTAACAATCTTTAGTAATTAAGGTAATTATTATTTTAGGATATGTATGTAAGGATATGTACAAAATATGAATATATAAGCACTAGGATGTAAGTACCTTTTTTCTCAAATGGAATAAAGGTGTATTTTCTTAACCAAAGTTGTTCTTTATTAGCCCCCCTTTCGATTGATACCACTTTCATTACTGGCTGCTAATGGGACAGAACGCCCATTGTCCTTTAAAATATTCCTTAAGATATCTAGGTGTCGATGGATTGAACAGCACAGAAAAGAAAAGGGGTAATTTGTGTAAGTCTCTGCGTCGACGAATGGTAAGCCAATTCAATCTTTGGCGGTAGTGGGAGCCATGTTCATATTTACGCACCGATTATAACGAAATTTTGGAGACGTCCTAGCTTATTAAACAAGCTCAATTGTAAGGTGGGCATAGCAAACACCATCATGCGTCTACTGATTTCTGCAACTTGTGGAAATCTTTATCCTGGAGATTTGTCAAATAAAAGTCCTAGGTTTTTCTGTATCTGTAAATGGAATCACTGTGGAACCAATGTAATTTTCGACAACTGCCCGAAATCAATCCTAGACACAAAGTGAGGGCTGCCAATTATGTCTTCTTATGATTTTAGTTTTTTCTTAGGAATTAGATTTATCGTTATAATTTTCTAATTATAAGGTAAATTAAAAAGTAATGTTTGTCATGTAAACGAATCAATTTCATGGATCACATTCTAAATCACTTAGACCACAACACTTTTTCGCGATTAAGTGACAACCCACAAAATGTCAGTTAAGTCAATTAAAAATCAGAGTATAGATGGATTTATCATCCCCGAAAGCCCCTGCATACTAAATTTGAGATTCAGATAGATACTTATATACAAGAGTTACTTGTTTAAAGGTAATAGATACATAAAACAACGAGTTACGTTAAGTTTGTTTATTGACTAAATAATTGAAAGTATCACAAACATTTATCAATTCTTATTTGACACATTGAAATGACACTTGTGATGTTACAAAAAAGTTTATTAATTATCCTATTAAAATTGATTAGTGTGCAAATGATGAAAGTCAAAGTTTGAGTTCGAGTATTCTTAAACACTATGATTACACTTATATCACTCTATTTTTCAAAAATGTTAATCGTAATATTTTTTTAGATCCAGATCAATTATGAATAGTGTAAATAAACTGGAAAACATGATGAAATTTTTTTTATATCAAAATAATAATAATGACATTCCCAGTCAAGGGTCGGGTCGGCTCAAAATGTTTGTACCAAACACACAGTGGCACATCAGGATACTACCATAAAAATCAATTTGTTATACATACCGAATATCGACTTCGACTAAAAATACTGAGTGTAAAAGATTTGCTGTCAGATTGCTTTGAACAATGTAAGCTGACACTAAATAAATAATATATTTATACAACACAAAAAAAATATAAAGAGCTGTCATACAAAATAACTGCACAAAAAATATTTAATTTCATTAATAATTATTTCAATTAATGTAAGTTATTACAACTTTGTTTCATCACATAGCTTAAAAACATACTTCTTAAAATAAATAATAGAAAATCCAATAACTAATTCATAATACACATTTCATATAAATACTACAAAAATACTAGACCTCTTAAACGGCAATTATATTTAGCTCAAACCGAGTAGCGCCACAGGCGATTACGTAGACGCTTTTCCAAACATTCGCAGTAGCAGAGAGCCAGAGTGAGCTAAATATAAACGCATCATTATTCAATTATAACTTGTATGATAAATAAATAATAACCAAATTTATGATGTCTAATACACACAACAACAAGTCAGGTTATACAAAACTGTCAAAGGTATAGATAGCCTCTGTACTGCATCACAGGTTTCTAAGTTATATTTTTACCGCATTATAAAGTGATAATAAATAATTAACAATCCGCCTATTTCCGTAAAAAAATCATATCCGTATCCGTATACAGTTAACCTTATTCACTTTTAAACTATCGCGCTGCATTATAAAATACTTATAATACCGGGTATTAGACGCTATTATACACTAACCTGTGCCAACGTTTCAACTTTACAATTGATCTTGTTTTCATATACCTACTAACAATGATCTAAATATCTTCCTATAGCTACCGTCTAAGTTCACAAGTGCATAATTATAATTAGTGTTAAATTATTATTGTTTAATGGTATTAAATAGTTTAATATTATTTAATTAAGAAAAAAATAGTTGCGTATTTTAAAAGAAACTCAAAACAGTAAAACGGACACTGAAATTTGGAACTGTCAAGTGTTTATTCCCTACATATACTACTTTACTCTTTGGACGTTTATGTCGGTTGATCGATGTATTTGCCAAATTCACTTCTTAAATGCGGCCTTAAACGCATGTCTATATTAATAATAAATGCGGTAATAATTACAATAATTAAATATCAAAAAAAAATGGGAACTATTTTTTTTTCGAATATCTCAAAAATGCGGTCTTATGATTAAATATTGATGGTAGTGAAAATTTAAATAAAAACTTGACTCGTTGAAAATAAATGTTGGTTGACGCAAGTTGGTACGAATCCAAATACAAAAAAACGCATTCTTCTTTCTCCACCCGATTTTAAACCTAAATTAATCTGCAGGGTTCAAAATCAATTACGGTTTAACAGATTGTGGTAACTTGGCGTGCTGCTGTGTGTGCACAATATAATTTAACTCTTCTTAAAGCTGACTTTTTTGTTTATCGATATTTTTACCCATTAAGGAAATCAATAATTGAATTCAAAGAAAAGCGACGATTCATAAGATTTTCAGTATTTTTTTTAACTCAGAAGGAAGGATAGCAGATAATATCACAAATAAAATAGAACTACCTGATTTCTTTTATTTGTTTGTGATATTATCTGCTCAAAAATGCTCAAAACAGCTCCTGCAGCTCTACCGCAGCTACAATTTCGTTTTGACGTATGATACTCGATTTCCGGTATTAAATAATGAATAGGGTATTTGACTAATTTTGAAAAAAAAATTCTTTGTTACTTAATAAGCACATTACAAGAATATTTCGGGAAAATTTACTGTATTTATAAATAAAATAAAAATTAAGTTAATGTTTAAATTACCGAAACCGCGCGAAAATCGCTGTTTCTATCATACGCCAGATATGACGTCACACGCAAGTATATAAACAAACCTCATCAAAATCAAAGATCGAATAATACACCCAGAAAACATATAACGCGCACTACAGTTGTCATCTACAATTGTCGACAGGAAGCCATATTTACTAGCGTGTGACGTCATAGTTGTAACAATTTACAGGGCGTTTTCGTTTCAAATAAAATTTCAAAATATAATTTATTTTGTGCAATCTGCAAAAATTTTACTTGAAATGTGTGTTCTATTATCTATTATCTCATAGGTAACCACGATTTTAAATATAATTTTAATGTTGTCAAATACTCTATTATAAATCCTGGAAGAAGTATGAATACCGGAAACCGAGCTTCAAGTGTCGTAATGAAACCATGACATAATTTGATACGTTAAGTAATTTGATTTATTTATTTAAATAAAAATGAAAGCTAAACCAAGGTGTAAGTTATGCGGTATAGCCATTGTTCTGTTTTAAAGCAAATCTTGAACGATTATTATTATGTTATGTTTCTATGTTAATGGCCAACGTCTTTACTTATGGAGAAAACATATAAATAATCAAAAATTACGTCCACAGGTTACCAAATCATATTACATACTTAAAATTAAACTAAATTAATATTACTTTAGTTAAAAAATACTATCCTTAAAACGATATAGGTATAGCAATATTCTAAAATATCATAGTATCTCATACATCATTTTATATATTAAACAAGTGTAAATAAAAATCATAAAGTTTAACATGACATGAAAACATGAAATTTTACTTTAACATATAATTCAACTAAATTGTTATTAAAAGGTCAGTAGATAAACGTAGCAGCTTTCCTAAGTTAATTAGGTCATTGACAAATGCTAGTGAGAAGAGATCCTAATGTTACTTCATTTTCATATATAAAAAAGGTAAGAAATAAGTAATAATAAAAATGTATATTCAGACTTAATTAGATCGCATAAACACTACAGCAAAGCGAAATTAGTTTTGGCTAATAATCACCCGTTAAAGATTATATAGAAATAAATCATTTAAGACTTGCTAAACAAAATAAAGGTATCGTTATTTGGATATAAAAAAAAAATATGTGGAATGTAACAAGTGCATAGCAAAATACATTTACAGAACAAAAATATTATTTTCAGTGTCAAATATTATTTTCAGAGTCAAATATTATTTTAGTTTTGCAACAGAATAAAATGTAATGTAAACAGTATAATTAAATAAACAAAATAATAATAAAGATTTTATTTGAGCATCAATAAAATAAAAACTAATGTTTTCATATGATCCTGGTTTTCGTTTATTTTTTTTAGTTTTGAGCCCTATATTTTTAAAGGTTGTCAGATCATAATATCCATAAAAATGAAATAAATTTATTTAAAGCACAATCGATCTTTAGGGAATTTAGCGATAGTCATTATACCAATGAAATATTCATCAAATAATTGCCTTACTACAATGTTCATTCGATATGTAGGAAGAATTATCAAAATCGAATATAATTATTAATATCTTAAATACCAACAATTTAGAATTTCAACAACCATTGTTTTAACTACTACATTAAGAATTATGGCAACATTTACGCAATACGATAAATCATTCATACAAACCATTATAATCGGTTGTAAAAAACCATATACATAGAGATCAGCCATAAACATCATCGCATACATACCCAATCAACTAAAGAGCCGCTCACAAAAGGAGCAAAGGTAAAAATTTACAAAAATACTTTACGCCGCAACAGGTGATATACAAAATATAGAACGTGGGATCTCGTACGTAACTATGAATCACGAAATTTTTTGAACACGAATTACGATCACAAATATGCTCACCGATCTGCCTCGCTAAAAGCACTGCCAATCGTTACAGGCGAATCTTCTCGGTTGATATTTGGAGAGTCGATGTCTATTTGCCTCTTCGGTGGTATTGGCAGTGGGGTATCTTCGTTCGATGAGTGCATAGAATCATCAATGTCTTCTCTCCTGGGGGGAAGAGGAGTACCGTTAGGGAGTTTTGGTAACGGAGGTATTGGCGGTGTACCGGAATCTGTTCGCGGTACGTCCGATGCTGGCGTTCCGTCAGCGTTCGGTATGGTAAACATATTGTTAGCCATCCTTTGGTAGTGTTGCTTCCATTTGTTTACTGGCGGTGTATAATTTAAATGATCGTACTCCATTTCTGAAAACAAAAATGCACACGGTTACAAACTTGAAAGAAAAATCTATGGAACGCACATAAATATTTATTTCGATTTTAATTTCCATACTATTAGCATAATATTATATAATCTTTGACAGTAATGCGTTATGTACAGTAAACCGCAAGTCAGGTTATACAAATCTGTCTATTTTCTCCACTTGATATTAAACATTAACATTTTGCCATATTGTGGCAATATAAGATGCAGCCGTGTGTACATTAGAATGTTATCTTTATTTTGAAAGTCTATTATTATAATACTTAATATGGGTATGTTAATTTTTATATAGAAATTAAAACTTACCATAACCTTCCTTATGTTTGATTTCGTCGTATACATGGTCCAATTTGTTGTCATCATCAATAAAATGATACAGGTTAGGATTGTTTGCGTCCGCATCTTTGTTTTTCAAAGAGGCAAGTGGATCGTATGTGCTCGACGACGCTGCAAAAGAACGAGTTCATAGTTTTGTTTCGAATTGTGAAATCATTGCAAAGACTTAAATTAACAATTATCATAACATACGATTAAAATTCATAAATAAGTGACATTATATATTATCAACGGAAATTAAGAACTACGTAATATTTATTTATACTGTTTTATAAATCAAAGTATATTAAGTTAGATTTAAATGTCATTAATAAACTATAATAAACAAAGGCCAGACACATGATCCCTTGGACCTATGTAAAAGAAAACAATATTATATTTATGATTTCGAAACACAACTTTTTGTTAACATTGTGATATCAATCAATGTTTATGTTGGTAATACTTATATTGTTTGATGTTGTAAAGTTTATGCGATTTTTGTTTGCTATGTTTTGTTGTTGATTTTGTATTTCATAACGATAAATAAAGAAAAATGAGCTACTCACTGTCTGTAGATGCGCTGGGACGCATCCTCAATTTTTCCATAGTTGTATTGTTGACCTTGCTGCCTAAGTTGTTCAAGATATGGTTAGCGTTATTCAAGAGGGTAGCAGAATCGTCACCGCGAGTCGACCCCTGGTATGAATATACAGGGTTGTCGAAGTGTTGTTGATCTGTTGGAAATCATTAAATTGTTTTGAATAGAATCCTACAAACTATACATAACTTTTGTTGAAAATTACATAGGTATAATAATTTTGCTTACCTAACAATTTGAAATTATACATATAGTGATATAAAGACAAACAAATTTTAGTCAACCTATAAGGAGTGAATGTATAATTTAAACCCAATAATAATTAAATTTTAAGCTAAGGAAGGATAAGCCTATGTAATTTGAAAAGAAATACAGAAACTTGCACTCACAATGTTTATATTAGTGTAATTAACAAATAAACGATGACTGGAAGTGGAATGACAATAAAATTTTAATTGCATTTAAAACTACTTGAGTGACTAACGGTCAGGTGCACAAACGTCCATAAGGTTTAATGACGCCTTTAAGCTCTAATGAATGTCAAATTTATATGGGTAATGTCGCTTTAAATTAATGAACATTTTAATGAATGTTTGTGCAACCCGCTGTAATACTAATACTTACACTGTTCGAATATTTATAAACAAAGGATAGACTAAGATACATACCTGGTTGCGAATTTGGATCGGCGGTGTAATGAACGTGCGCTATCTCCCGCTTCAGATTGCGCACACGCTTCCGATAATACAACAGAACTAATATTACGGCCGCAGCGCATAACAGTGACAATATAATCATCACAACCATTAAACCTTTCGAGGAACCTGTTTAGAACATATTGAAAAATTTTACGAAAAGAAAAATAGAATAGATTACTTTATAATTTTAATAGTCTTCAATTCGTCTTTATTAATCATGAGCAGTGAATTGGAATGGGTAAAGATATTTTCAGTCAACATTACACATAACATTCTTCTAGGAAAAAAAATTAATTGTGAAAAAATATTCATATACATTTTTTATTCGTAAATTTTTTTACAACAACCTCAGGGGCCTAGTTAAAAAGATACTCACTAAGTAGTAAAAACGACTACCTATTTCAATGCCCATTATATTATAAATATTTTCCAATTCCGTTATATCTGTAGTTTATTTTGTTGAATGAATAAATAAATAAATCTTCCTATAATTAATGACTACTATTCACGAAGATACGATGGATAAACTATTCACCTTCCGCTCTATCTATAACGATGGCGTCACTAGCGTGTATGTCACAGTTTTCACCAATGAAATTCCGATGACAAATGCAACCTTTCACCGGATGACACTCCCAGTTTCCGTGCGAGGAACAGTTACACGCCTCCATGCAGTGATCACCATAGTAGCCTTCCGGACAAACTGTAATTCACAATGAAATTTATTTTTTTACCATTGCCAGGGGGGGGTATCATCGCTAAGTTGAAAATATGTGTTATTAATAACCACACTTATACATCACTTATATCATTAAATATTTTACGTTTGTGAAAAATCCAGAATATATACCTAATAACCGGTATAATTTCTTAAAGGGCAAAAAATCCTAAGCTCGGAAATTTAAAAAAAGGGTTTTGTAAAATTACAAAGCATCACAATTTTAAAGAAAAAGGAATTAAATGTCTATGCAGAGGTGGCGTTGTAAATGGCTACGCTTTTATTATTAATGTATTAAAAACATTTTTCTTGGTGTTCAATTCTTTGTTGATTGATACTTTAAAAAAAAAATGAAAAGACAATAAATTTAATAATTCAATTCAAGAAACTGTTATAAGAGACCAGACAAGAATGACGATTTTTTCAAGAACTCGTTACTTTCGCTACAAAGTTCTTTTTTATTGTGTGCTACGAATCAATGTCTATTGACGTTTCTGCGAAAATCCATAGAATAGCCAAGTGTTGCTTGCTCACTTGCGGCAACTAGCGCCGACTCTAGACACATTTTGTTCTATGTAATGAGATATCTGTATAGTTTGGGTATCTGTGCCATTATCTAATTTATATTTTAATCTGATACTGTTTTATCTTTTTGTATATGTTAAACTTGCACAGTCATACAAAATTGAGTTTTTTCTGTTAATTTAAATTTTGAGTTTCGCTGCATATCTGATTTGATCTAACATCCGAAATTGCGTAATGGTATACAATAGCTCGCGAGTTTAACTTCTAACTTGTTTATTACATTCTTCTTTAAATGAAGAAGTCGATGAATGTTACTTTATTATTTATGCCGTAACTTTCTCTGTGAACTAGGGTGTCGGTTATTGCCACTGCTTTGTTAAAACCACTGTTCCAAACTATATATACTAGTCCTATAATATACATGCAAAAATCTATTGCCTACAAATGATACTTTTACTAATAATAATATAAACTTTATGCTTTCATGACTTATTCCAGTGATTTATATTTTTCATTCAACAACCTTTTGTAAAAACCCTGGCCACTGATCGCTCTCTGACTCTAATTAGTATTTAATGACACTAGTGTATACTAGTGATGAAATTCTAGTCCAATTTTTACTCGAGTCACTTGAGCGAATTTATCAAACACATACTTGAGGAAAAAAATTGCTTAAGTCTCTATGCACTCAAGTTATCAAGTCAACTCAGCGCATCGAGTTGATTGTCTTGCCACTAAATGTCACTTCACTACTATAATTTATTTATCCATACCGATTATCCTTTTATTGCCTTGATTAATTAAATAAATAAAATGTTAATACTTATATTAAATAGGTATTTGCTTAAAATTATTGAGAGAAATCTCACTCGAATAGCATGTTTGCAATTTTTTTACTTAAGTGACTCGAAAACTTGAGTATGACTCGAGTGAAGTAGTTAATACAGGTGTAGACAGTAAACTAAAATAAATACATATAATTTTTTTTGGTTGTGTATAATATACTATTATCGATAATAATACTTTTATGATATTATATTTATAATATTTCTAAAATTCATAATGAAAAACAAATATTTTATACTCGTTGTCACATAAATACAAACAAGTCGTGACGTCACGCCTCTCTTACTCTTAAAAGAACTTAGAGAATTAAACCTTTTGTACACATAGAACGCTATTAGTTAGAGAGGGTCATAGAGACTCCATGACAGGAGTTAGCATTTTCGCGGGTTATTTTGAAAATTAAATTTATTTTTAAATTTTAACTTATCATATGAACGTTACCTTTTATTTATTTTTTTAGATATATTTCATGTATATATGTTACGCTCAAAGATCGAAAACGCTCAGTGAGCGGAAAAATAGCTCACAACGCGTTGTGGTCACAGTAAAACATCCACATGGCGAAATTCGTGTTATGGCTCTAATGAAAACGCGCACGACGCGTTGTGGCAATCACAGAAAGACCAAATAGCGAAATTCGTGACGTGGCTGACATGCTATTCGATCTCAACGCGTTGTGGCAATGAAGAAAAGCCATGATGCGTTCTGAGCATTCATTGTTTTAACCATATCACGACGGACAGGTTGTAACGAACTTCGTCGTTAACACTCCGCTCAGCATCTATGTTATCATCTGGAAGAAAGCAAGGGTTTATAATGTGCCACTGCAAAAGATACTGTATTGATAAAAAGTGCAAGTGTCGCTCCAAGAATATAAAATGCAACTCCAAATGCCACAGTAATAGTTCCTGTAAAAATAAATAGCAATCAAATACTTATTTTAAGAACATTATTGTTGTTTATTGGTGGACAATAAACATTTATGTTTGTGTTAAATATTTTTTTACTTGAAAGAATTTAAATTGTCATTAAAAAATTAAAATCCCTAATTATTTTAAGTGAATTGTAAGAAATTTACAAATGATTAACATTTCGTGTTCAGTAATTTATTACTTAATATTAATACGTTGATTTTTTTAAATATAAAGTATTCTCAATAAACAACAAATATCGTTTTATTTTAATTTATATAATATATTTAATAATAACAAACACTTTATGCAGTGATTTTATAAAATAAAAAATATTTCCTAAGGACATCTACCAAAACGTTTCCAGCCTAGGCCTAGTAGGATCCATATCGGAAAGTAGTGTGCGTCGTAATCAAATAATCTTCCATACGCGTGATGGATTTTCTTCATTGCCACAACGTGTTGAGATCGAATAGCATGTCAGTCACGACACGAATTTCGCTCTTTGGTCTTTCTGTGATTGCTACAACGCGTCGTGCGCGTTTTCACTAGAGCCATAACACGAATTTCGCCATGTGGATGTTTTACTGTGACCACAACGCGTTGTGAGCTATTTTTCCGCTCACTGAGCGTTTTCGATCTTTGAGCGTAACATATATAAAAAATTAAAATAAAAGTTGTCTACACCCGTATTGGCTCGAGTGACTCGAGTCACAAAATCCTACTCGAGTCGCATCACTAGTGTTTAAACGTTCACTGACACTGCGTGCAATAGTTGCCCGTGTAGCCGGGCGGGCAGCGGCAGTATCCGTCGTTAGGTCGGCACGCGGCGCCGGTGGCACAGCGGCAGGGCTGCGAGCACGCCGCGCCCCACCACCCCGCCGGGCACGCCTCGCCGCAGCGAGCGCCGCGCCAACCAGGCAGGCACTGACATTCACCTGACACAAACAATCGGAGGCAATTGACAATAATTCAAAACTTATTTCAAATTAATTGTTGAGTTAAAATGTGCACATAAAAATCGTATATCTCTTAGAATCCAATTTAAATGAAAATAAAACGTGATAAATTGAAATCACGTTCTGCCAATCGGGTAGGCACTGACGTTCACCTGACACGAACAATCGACGACTTGACGACATTTCAAATTCATTATTAGGTTTAAATTCAACATTAGTGAAAACAAAACATAAAATTTAAATCACGTTCTGCCAACCGGGCAGGCACTGATATTCACCTGACACGAACAATCGGCAACTTGACAATATTTCAAAACTTATTATAAAGTAGCTGTGCCCCTGACTTCATCCGCGTGGAATGGCGCCTTAGTAACTAAGGCGACATAACCTATTTACTAGTGAAAATCCAGTCAAAATCTGTCCAGCCATTTCAAAAATTAACCGGAACAAACAGACAAAAAATGTAAAATAAAGAATATTTTGCAACGTGTAGCATGAATACATACCGCATTTAGTTTCATATGTAAGGACCTAATATTATGGCGTTTTACCAAAATTTGATATTTGAACGCTGATTTTATCGAGATTAAATACTGGCATAATCGATTTCAATCGATATTTTGAAAGAGGAGTATTGCGCGTTAATCGGCTACAAAGTTACACATTTTTATTGACTTACATATTTATTGTCATTTATAAAAAAAAAGTATATACTTATAATATAAAAGAAATTGAAAAAAAATGTATAATATAATATTAGAGGTAACTTGTTTTTAACGTACAAACATATGCTAAATTCATTTCTGATTACAAACAAAAATGAATATTGGTGACTACAGGAGTACATGCTGTTTTTTAAGTAGAGAGTTCAAGTGAACGAAATAAAGGTGAAAGTGACTAGTAATAAAACCGTTTGATAAGACACTAACGTTAATAGCTCCAATCCGTTAACTAAAGAGATGAACAAAATAAGTAAAATTTAAACGTTTTAAGTAATGATTGCTATTTTTAACATTTTGGCCACAATTCACGTACACAAATAAATACTAAATAAAAAATCTGATAACTAACCGGTGACATGATGACAATCAGCGCCATTCTTGCAATTACACTTCTCCTTACAGTCAATCCCATAGGTGCCTAACGGACAAGGATATTCACAAGTGGCTCCAGTATACCCACTAGGACACGAGTAATTTCCAGTCACGGGATCACAGGTGGTGTTACCTATAACAATTACATAAACTCTGTTAACGTTATTTCATACAAAGTTTACGATAACCTGCTATTTATAAACATCGTTCTCGTACGTTAAGTCTTTCTCACAAACATACATTGTTCCATGCAACACAAAATGAGCATTACGACATATCAACATCACAAAATGTTTTACATCTCGTTAAAATCTTAAGCTACATTTTAAGGAGAAATGATGTTTAACGAACAGGTGCTTTCAAATTTTTTTATTGTAATTATAGTGCTTAGGTGTTTCATGTTTTTTAAACGTTGTATAATAGAAGTAAAAAAAGATTATCTATCTATGAAGCAGTTGCATCAATGAAGTATAATACCATTGTAATCTGGACAGACTTGACTACAGCCGGCGCCGTAAGTGCCGGACGGGCAAGGCTGCGCACAGTCCAGTCCGGTCCATCCGGCAGCGCATACGCATCGCCCGGTCTCCGCATCGCAAGAAGAGTTGTTCAAGCACTGACAACGCTCAGAACACTCTTCTCCATAGTGACCCTCGGCACATTGAGTCTCGCAACGGACACCTGTCATTATTTTTAAGTTTTATAATATATTTTTAACATGGTATTAAATTCAAACAATAAGTTGTTTAGAATAGGATACTTTACAGTGAGAAACATAAAGTTTAGTTATTGGCAATTTTATTATGATTTTCTTGGAGCATATGGAATAAATTATATATTTAACTTCAAATTCGCTTCTGGTTTGATAACGATATCAAAAACGGCTAGGTTTGATCCAATGGGTGATAATTTCATTCGATTACCGTAAAATATGTGCTTTCGTTACAATCGATACACCAACATTTTGAAAGTACTTATGCTCATATTTCATAAAAACAATGTGAATATATACTTTGTCAATTCTTACTTAAGACTTGGCATAATAAGAAAAGACTATTTCTGTAATAAAATGACAATAAGGGCAAAAGTTGGGCCAACAACGCGTTCAAACTGTTTAATTAATTACTGGAAAACTATTACGATTATTATCAACTGTTAAGTGTTGCATATTTCTCTGAGATAGGATTCTGTGACATGTTTTTCAAATTTAACTATAAAAAGACTATAATTATAACAAGAAATTCAGGGGTAACTTTGTGGTTCCTTTCTATAGAGAAAATTGTATAAATTCACATTTTGGATGTGAACTCTTATAAATTTGATGTAATTTCATAATTTAAGCTTACTTGACCGTTAATTATAAGTAAAAAAATATTGGGACGCGCTCTCTTAAATGTAAATATGGATACTCAGACGTGGTACTACAGCGCATTTTCAAAGTTTTACAGTGTTACATATATCATTCATCAAGCTTTGTGGTTTTCCTTAATAATCGAATAATTACAGCATTTTCCAATAAAACTAACGAACTACACAACATTATTGTTGGAAATATTAATTTGTAACACATTTTGAAACAGAAACAGTTCAATGACATTCAGACAGTTCTGCGGTATTGAATATTGACGTCATCTACAATATCCGTGTCATCTACTGGTCATAATTCCGTAAAGAGGAAAACTTATAGAATTGAAAATTTACATAATTTCGAACCATATGGATATGTATTAAATTAATTATAAAGCTTTATTGTGTAACTAAGATATAGTTTACGCTTGGAAATTCAAATGAAGAGATAATTATTTAAAATTCGATATTTAATTATTAATTATAAGCAAATACATACATAAATACAAATATGTACTATAAATTTACTTTTACACAACACTAAAAGTGCTAGTTAGTCACACACCAGATCTTATCAAGAAAGCCTAAACATAATACATTAATTTTTTGGGCAATTATGTAAAGACTATAAGGCAAAAGTAGCAACATTCGTGCGCTCCATAATTAGGGCGGCTATTAACAATTAATTTCACAATCGTTTATTAAATTTTAGTTGATTTTATAGAAATATAGCATTCTGAATAGAATGAGATTATAAGAATTTACTGAATCATGAAATCTTAAGTATGAAATTGAATCGTAAATAGCAAACTTTAAACTGATATGTCATCCAAAACCAGGGTTTGAAAACCTTTTGAGAACTGAATCAGAAAAGCGGCTGCACTAGTATAACACAATGCTAGCTCGTAGAGCACAAACCGGTAATCATTTCCTAACACATTCAACGAACGAACATCTTATCAGATTAATGAACGGTTTTTAATTATTTGCTTCCCGTGTTTAATGGTAGATTTTTAATGCTACACTAAAATTTTTAAAAAAAAGCAAGTTAAAACTAATCATTTGATAAACATATCATTTCGCATATTTAACAAAATATAAATTCTTTAATATTTCAAATGTGAACATTTATTTTAAAATATCAATTTGAGTACACACTAAATAAAATTACTTTGGAACGATTTCGTGTACATTTTGGTTACATTTTGGATCCTTTACATACATCTCACGTATTTACTTGACTGAGTTAGTAATGACAAATAGACATGTCATTATGAGTACGATAACCAAAATCTGTAACGTAGAAGTATGCTCAATTGTTTTTGTCACAATAATTCCAAACCTAGTCTAGAAGAATTCAATATGCAATAGCGGTTATATTATTTGATGGTCTTATGTTATACCGATTCATCGTTATATCAATCAGAGTTACATCAACCTAGCGACGTTCGTTGCGTTGTTTTAGCAACTTTGTAAACTCCAAAACCTAATAAATCACCGTTAATTCATAAGCGTTCTCAAGCTCTATTGAAAATCAGTAAATACTACTTGTGCTTAGTGTCAAATTACACTCTCAATCTAAATTCAAATTTTTAAGTGATTTAAGGTGATTGTGATTAAACATAGTCGCCATTTAGTGCATCAATTAGTGTAAAATAATCCAGAGACATAACGTCATGTATTAACGACTAAGCTAAAAATTTTTTTTGCAAACGTAAATTAATACAGCCATATAGTAATGTTACCATTGCATAATTTATTAGCCATAAGACAAATCAGTTTTTAGAATTTATTTACACAAAAAGTACCTAAGTCAACTGTTTATTTCCGTTAATTCATATTTCCGTAAATATGTTTGCAAATATAATTAGCCAAATAATGAATATGACGATAGCGCAAAAAACATTCATTTCAATAATTCGGAATGTCCATATTAGAGTCAATTACTGCCAGTTTACTATTATTATATGATACAGCCCAAACCGCTATATTTCCCGTCACAGCAGATTCTTTAATCCTCACAGCGGCTATTATTGCTTTCGTCGTCACAGTACTATTCATTTTACGAAGGTTCTTAGCAGCAATCGTTAACAAGTGTTCTGGATCAAACGAATTATCACATATGTTCCATGAAATACAATATTTAATAAACATTTTCTTATACTTTTTCTGAATGCTGTCTGTATTTGTATAAGTCATGAGACTGGTATTTATCTCGTTCAGAGAATTATGATTATCAGTCTTACTTCTTTGCTTATATGTAAGATTTACTGTTTCGTCTTTCACTTTTTGTAAATCAGATATATTCTCTGAGTTGACACACGACATGTTGAAAAAAATTGCTTTCCCAAATACATCTGTTATTAAAAAAACACGTGAAACACATATTCAATAAATATAAAAATACGTACCATCTTCTCTAGGTAGACCTACGCGAAGAAATTATGAATTTTAGATAATATTTTAAAAGTAACAGCCGTTAGAGTATATACTAGTATCTGAATAAAATTTAAGTGCATCTTTATAAAAGTTTTTGGTCAAGATCATGTTAAATGGTCGTCTTTCTTTATTAATAGTTACTGATATACATAATATACATAAATAGGATGTATGCCACTTTTAATATTATCATGTGGTAAATAATGAATCTCTTTTGCTAACGAGCAACATGGGGTTATACATTTTTTAAATGATTACTATTTTATTCACATGGATATATCAGTTATGGAACTTAAAAACATATTTAGAAATATTTGCTACATATAGTTCCAAACCTACCTCTCCAGCTGGTCTCGCAGATGCACTGCCCTGTGACATGGTGGCAACCCCTAGCGTTCTCCGAACAGCTGCATGCGTATTGGCAGCCCTGACCGAAGTACCCAACCGGGCAACGGCGCTCGCACTTTGTTCCCTGATACCCCGGACCACAAATGCAATCGCCTACAAAGAAATGCAAAAGTAATACATAACTTAAATATTTATTTTATTCTGTTTTTTTTTTTGTATTTTTTGTTGACGCGGCAACGGAAAACATCAACTGTGAAAATTTCAAGCGTCTAACCTTCACGGTTCATGAGATACAGCCTGGTGACAGACGGACAGACAGTGAACTCTTAGAAATAGGTTTAATAGGTTCCCGTTAGAGTAAACCTTTAGGTATGGAACCCTAATAAATACGAATTGGTGTCAAAAAATATATTAATTTAAACAATGAAATTTTGTACTTGTGTATTCATGTGTTATTATTACATTTAATTGTTCCTTAAATTTAATAAACCTCAAACAGGAAAGTAATAACTGGTTAGTAATATTAAAACAAAGAGCTTTCGAGTATTGTGATAATTAACGATAGAGTAAACACAATATAACTAAATATAGCCTTTTTGAACATAAATGACTAAACAAAGCAGCACGTCATATTGAATTTCAGCAATTAATTTTGAATTCTATCCACAATTCAAAATTAAGTAGAGAGACACAGAATGACATGTTGTTGATTGTAAACATAATATAACTCACCATTAACAGGGTTACAAGGTGCATCATTTTCACAATTACAAGGCTGTAGGCACTTTAAACCAAATGTCTTGCCATCACACGGTCGGTCACATCTCAAACCGTCAAACCTAAAAAATGTCAAAAATTATAGAAGTTAAAAAAATGCAACTCTTTATACTTATACAGTATCTTTCCCTAACACCCCAATACTAGAGTATTTTAATTTTTAATAAGGGGGGGGGGGAAACATTTCCACAACATAAATATATAATTAATAATTATTTATATTATCGAATAATAACTATTCTATTGAATAATGCACGTCCATTTTAGCGATTTTATCGGACCATACAATATAATTAACAGTCCAGATGTTTAATTGCTAAAACTTACCCAGGCGTACATAGACACTGTCCAGTCTCGTGGGAACAAGTGGCGTTATTGTGACAGTCGCACGTATCCGCGCAGTTGTCACCGTATAACGGATACGGGCACTGCTCCTCGCAACGTATACCTCTATAACCCGGCGCGCATAAACACGACCCTAGACAAAAAAACACTTATAAAACCATAATGTTATTAAATCTTAGTTTACAAATTTTGATGTTTGATGCCGAAACTCAAAAGCTACATTCATTTTCCCGATTGAGAAATATACTCAAACCAAACAGTATACTTCTATTATCTTCCCTGTCTGAAAAAGTACATTTCTAAACAAAGTTTAACTTAAATTTAATTTACTTTCATGGCACTACAATATGCATATATTTGTGCATGGATCAAATTAAAACAAGCATAATCCCACGTTGTCGCGATATAAAAATAAAATATCGAAATAACATCAATTCTATTATTAACTAATTTAACCTCCAGTTATTTCAGAAAATTTTTGCAAGGCACATCTCAAATTATTATCTCTACTGAACTAAAATGAATACTGTAATTTTTAAATTAAACATTTATTTTTTCCATATTTTTAAAATAACTATCTTGTATTCTGTCAAAGCATAAGAGAGTATGACACTACAGAGAGTACGAGTCTAAAACAATAGTCGTTTTAAAACGTTTAAGCACCTTTTTGTGCATAAAGAACGTATTAATCTCAATAATAATGTAACGGAAGACTAGGCTGTATGAGCTTAGGTGTGTTGCTTTAAATTAAATGACTACAATTACGTACCGTTGATAGGGGAGCAGTGTCCGCTGTTCTCACAGCGGCAAGTATTGCGGCATCCTTTGCCGTATGTTAGCAACGGGCATTGCCGCCCGCACCTCTCCCCTCCCCACCCCGCCGCACACTCACACGCTCCAGTCCATGGATCACATCTAACACAATAGCATATATTTCAAGGCTATGAATTTGTTACGCTTTTATATGACGTCAGAAGATGACACAGAGCAATCACGAAGTATCCGAAACCTATACAAATATAAATAGCAATAATACGTTTTCTCAACCAGTGGAACTAGCTTCAAAACTTACAGGTCAAGCCAAATATCGTAAGGCCGAGCATTAAAAAAAACTTACAAGTCGGTAGTGGCGGGATCGCACTCGCAGTCTTTGTCACATCGCGCACCCCACTTGTCATCGGGGCATGCACGATGTTCGCACCACTCGCCTCGCCACCCTGACTTGCATGTGCACGCACCGGTACGAGAATCGCACGCGCCCCCATGCTGACACGAACATTTGCCCATGCAGTCTACACCGTACGTTCCCAACGGGCACACGTCTAAGCACTGTCAAATAACAGTACAAATTTGATACATTAAGATATCAAAGGGTAGTACGAATTCAAAACAGTAGAACATGGAGAGAATGGAGTCCTGTGTCCCCATAAACTTCAATATTGTTAAAACTTATGACATCATCAAAATCATCATTGTTACATTTTGTACTGACTATAAAAAGTTAAAGTATTTTCCCACTCAAAATCTAAAGCAAAATGAACAACAAGTAGGGTAAACGATAGTAAAATAAATAATTTGAATAATTATTATCAAATTGCTCTTTCCTATTGCACATTCTCAGTCACATATTTTATAATGACTGGACATTATGTATAATGCCCAATTTATTACTCGGTCTATAACTCATACAAACTACATGAATAATTAAACATATACAGTTCCTTTGTAGAAATCACAGTTTAAACTTTATCGGCAAACATCTTCAAGGCAATGTTTCTTTTTGTATTATAATATTTACATGTAAAACAAGAGGGTGTTTACCAATCCATTCATAAATGTCGCAAAAGAAAGGCTATGTACATTTCTTAAAAATAAAGGAACTAGAAAGAGTATACTATCATATCACATTAATAACACACTAGTTAAAAAAAGATCAAGGTAATCATAAACCTATGTAAAGTGTTTCGTAATGGTTACCTCGTATTAAAGATTCATATACTTTAAATAATGGTTAATAATTCTCACAATTACCTTTTCGCCTGTGAAGCCAGCTTCACATTGACAATGACCAGTAACATGATGGCACCCAGCACCATTTGCGCACTCACATGATCTTTCACAATTTTTACCCCATTTTCCCACAGGACATCTAAAAAAACATGACATTCGTAAGGCGTAATTTAGGCAAGGTTCCTGTTTAATACATAGAATTTCCAAATCGTCGATAATAACATTTTCAGATTATTAATATCAACTAATGATATTACAAAAAAGAAACACAAAATCAATCATTATAATACTGAAGTGCAATAAATATATCTTACAATAACAATATTACTTGTTACCTCATTTTTAACTGAATAACATGACCCCTTGTACTGATAATTCAAATGATTCACGGCATGTTATAATAGTGATAATATATGTATATAGCACTCGATACAATAACATACAATTTACTAACAACGAACCAATAAATTAATTATTACGAATAAGGTCAAAAAAATCAACTTTGTTGGATTCATTTGACATAACTAAAACATTGCATTATTAGTTAAGAAACTAAATTCAAAATTTTCAGATATTTAGAACAAATGATTAACACTTAAATCTTTCTTCCAATTTGTGTAATGTTCTGCTATGTGTCTAATTTATTTTATTAGCAAATTATTGATTAAATAGATTGCATGTGAAAATTATTAAAAACAAGATGAATGCCTAAACTACAAAAACCAAGGATCATATTTATTATGTTTGTGATGTCAGTTGCTGACAAGTCATATGTGTGTGTATGAGAATAGCATTGTTAGAATTCTTGTTTCTTCTTATTTACTAACAAGATTACTATTGTTTGGTAAATAATGGATTATTTATTAATATATTTATTATTAAACATACAACAATCATGGTTAACAATATATTTAACCAGCAATACATATATTCCGAACTGAGTTATTCATTAATAATAATACAAATATTCCAAACTGTTTGCAATGTTTATTTTTTGCTTTCCATTTTTCCCCCAAGTGGGCGCTATGTTTAAAAATTATTTATTTCAGATAACAGTTGGGACCATCAGCAGATAGACGGACACACTACTGATTGTGTAAGGATTTCGTACTTCTTACTTCGATATAAGTAACCATAAAAATGGTATACATACTTGCCTGCAATGTTTATTTTTTACTTTCCTTTTTCCCCCAAGTGGGCGCTAAGTTTTAAAATTATTTATTTTAGATAACATTTGGGACCATCAGCAGACTGACGGACAGACTACTGATTGTGTAAGGGTTTCGTACTTTTTACTTCGATATAAGGAACCTTAAAAAATGGTATACATACTTATTTGCACAAACTTCTCCGGTCCAGCCGGGTTTGCATTGGCACTCTGCTGTGAGTGGGTTGCAAGTGCCGCTATTTTGACACCGACAACCTTGCGGACATGGGTCGCCGCGGGGACACGTACGTTCACAACTGCAGGAAATAAAAATAACACTCCATGACTCATAAGATGTTATTTCTCCGTTTAGATAACAGCATCCGCTCATCATATTGTGTTTATGGATGAACAGAAAAATGCGGTACTGATAAGCGATATAAAAAGTAGGTAATGCTATTTACACACAAGAATTGTAAGGCTATCAGAATTTATTTGGATATACATTGCAATTTTTTTTATACAAACTTTAGATTAACTAGCCTCGTCAACGTTTTAAGAATCGTTTGCTTGCAACACCTCATTTGCCAAGGCCATCTATGATGCATAACAATGTGTTAACCAAACTTTTGCTTAGCACATATAGGATGAGAACGTGACTAGTATATATTTTGTAGACGTAATAAGATATTTATTCAAATCGAATCACATCGCATTGTTTTCAGTTTGTTATCACAAATCTGATGATGACCAAAGTGTTTATTGGGTAGATAAATTACTCTTATAAGAATCAGTTTATCAAATGGGATTTAGATATTTGATTCGAGAAAACAGTCCATTAGCGACGCCTATACACGACTCTTAGATTTAAAGATAAGTAAGTAATACTACTTCGATAAGTTTACTGACAGCGGTCCCGTGAAGCCCGGCAGACAAGTGCAGGCCCCGCTGGCAGGGTCGCAGGTAGCGTTATTATTGCACTGGCAGGTTTGCTGACAGTTGTCACCGAAGCTGGGCGCAGTGCACGCCTGTTCACAAGACCTTCCGCGCCATCCCGGTGCGCACGCGCACTCCCCCGTTAAAGGTTCGCATATGCCACCGTTGACGCAATGGCACGAATTCTGACAGTTGCGACCCCACTTCCCGTCCGGGCATGCTACGATTAAAAATAATCCAAATATTAATTCAAGATATACATAAAATTACAATACATTAATGATTTCTTATATTATTGCCTTTTTCCTATACATTAGTATACGCTCTTCACGACAGGACATAACAGTACGAATTGTCGCAAAAACATATGACCTGCATCAGCAGTACGACATATCGACGTTATGTAATCGTACGTCTGATTAGCCGTCTCGTCTAGGTCGCCGATTGTTTATCTATAATATAGATATTATTGATATAGCAGCTACATTATAGCACTGACTTACAGTTCATCATCAGCAATGTATGAACGAAATTGTGATAAAATCCCGAGAACAAAGATTTACATTGCGTATATGGATTGATGTAATTTTCAATATTATGTTTCTATAGCAGTTATTGGTAAACATCAAACTTATCAGTATGTAATTATTGATACAATTGTATTTAAATCGGAATACTGACATATATCACAGGCAGGTCCCCCATATCCGTGCGCGCACGAGCATGTGTTGGGCGCCACGCACGTGCCATGCACGCAGTTGTTCACGCACACTGGCACACACTGTCGCCCTCCCTCATCAGGCGCGTAACCCGAGCAACATTCCTCTACCGGCCTATATTTAATAAGAGTCTCCGTTTTGAACACCTGACGAAACTTGATCTTGTACTTGGAACATCGTGGAGGCACATTAAAGCACCAAGCGTATTCTTTCACTTGATATGGTTGATTCTCTGAAACTTTGACTGTCGTTTGGTATCTGTAAAAGAAATATAAAATGATAATGACGAAATAGTTTTACATAACCTTCTGACTGATTTCTCATCGCTTTGACGCGAAACAACAAAGAAAGGAAACATTTAGAATGACTATTCTTATAACGACCTTCGATGATAACACGTCAAGTTAACGTTCTTTGTTTCTTTGACGTTTAAATAAACAGTTTAAAGCCTGCGTGCATTTCTGAGCTCACATAACTTTAAATAAAATGTCGCAGACAGAAAAAGAAGAGTCGTCTGCAGAAAGGGAACTCGGTAAAAAGTTAACTGACTCAACGAACAACAGAGTCGATCGTGGTAATCAGTCTCCCCAACATTCAAAAAAACCAATAACAAACCATTTGGTTACTGGACTGTGAACCCATACATTACGTGTGAACAATGAATCCGATGCCAATTCATCATTTTATTATCTAAACAAGTAACTGTATTGAAACACTGATAAAGTTTACTAACTGCGTTTCATTAACATAATATTTCAAGTCAAATTATTATTCCTTCAATGCTTAATTAATGCACACGATTTTTGCTGTCAGTAACATATGATATACTACATAGATTTTATAATAATAATGAATACTCTTTATGCCACAAAAAAGGCAAATTAAATAAACACAAATATTTACATAAGAACGTACAAAGAGCGGGTTTATCGCTAGCCAGAAATTTCTTCCGATCGACCTTGCATTGGATGGGAAAAAAACGAAACAATAAATAGCAGATTGTGCATGTTATAGTCGGGTCACACACACTAAAGGAATCTGCTGACATATAACATCCTTGCACACGGTCCTATTGTTGGAGTGACCGAAATATTACCAAAACTGCTGATGCAGCGGCACGTGGAGCAACAACGGACATGGAGGCAATCCGAGTAATAGAGTTCACTTTTAGATCAACCATCGATCGGGTCACATAGTTAGGTTAGTTATTAAGAAATATAATGTAATTTTATTTCATTAAATTAGTATTAAGTAAATTTTGGTTTTCTTTGAAATCTCCGGCTGCAGCTTCTATAATTTGCATACAACGAATAACAATTTAAATCATACAAAACAAACAGAAGAACGACAGTTGTAACAGCGAAGTACCACTAATAAGTACATATGTCAAACAAAATGCTCAAAACACAAGTGACAACTAGAGCGCGAGAAGTGTGAAAAGAAAATAGAAAAGGAGGCTAAATTTTTGACAGGATATGGTCTAAATTTAATTCACTGTTTTTGAACCGTAGATAAGTACTTTGCATAGTAAATAGAAATAAATACTATTTTGTGCCATAAAAATCATATGATAAGTATACAACTGCTCACGCTTGCAACAATTATAATAAAGAAACGTAATAGACATAATATATTAAATTTGATCATTATGCACAGCTTGATTATATTTTAAATATGTATATTATGCACGGCTTGATACGGTCAACGTCTTAACATTATCTATCATACTAATTACAGCATATCTTGATTGGCAATACGATACGTGTATTCATCGTCCGACTCTTCTAGGAAAAAAGAACGACAGTTGACGCTTATCTTTTCACTTTATTTATGAAATTGATTCCGAGGAACAAAGAGCCTGACAATTTATAGTAAAGTCGACAGACAGCACATATCCGGTAACTACAAAAACACAATCTTATCTCGCCTTAATTCGTGTGTCTCTTTAAGTTCAATATTAAATAGGAGAAATTTGGCCTCATGTTATAATCATATGTACCGCTGTGTGTACAGTAAATGATAACATAACACAAATAAACGATAGAGTGTTGTGTGGTATCACCAACTTTTGAAGGTATAAAAAGAGTGAGCATTCTATTGTAACTAACAACAAAAAATATTGTCATATACGAATTCTGAAAACGATTTGAAAGAAAAGTACATTAATATAGTATTTAGACAACATCAGATACATTGCTCGGATTACAATTTAAGCAGCTAAAGCCTTCGTAACACATAGTCACGTAGTCAAAAGAAGTAATTAAGTACTTGAGAATATATCATAACTTCGGCAGATATTATTACCAAATAATCAAGGTTTGGAATGAGGTAAGAACTGTTAATAGTTAGAATACTATTATTATTAGCTATTAACAGTTCTTACAGATAGACGTCATTGATTCTTAACCGTTGCAATAACGTGATTATAGAGCTTGGTTTCTGAACAACTCTAATACCTTATTCAAATAATCATTATATTGAGATACAAAGGATAAACGTAGAAAATGACTTTTCTATATTTTTTTATATAATAATTTTATATTATTTCCGGGCAGATCATTATTTTTTCGATTATTACACACATGTCTATTAATAACTTCAGATACAAGCACCATTATCTATACGTACTTACTAATATTATAAAGGGGAAAGATTTGATCGTTTGTTTGCATTGAACACGCTCCGAAACTACTGATAATTATAAATTAAATATATATATGTAGGTACTTACGACTCCTGCCTGCTGCAAACGTTGGGACCTTCTAGGAAAGCCTGTGCAGCAGCAGTTACCAGCAGCAACGTGCTAATCTTTGACCACATTTCGGCTTCTATTCACTTAATCTCGAACAAAGTTTCCATAACATTTTTTGTTTTGGCGAAGTTACGTCACAATATGCATTCAGTTATGATTATTTTACCGCTTTCTTAGAAGGCACTTAAAAAGGTTTCATTCAGAATCTATGCAATATCTGGAAAAAATATAGATTTGTTTAGTTCTCAAAATAAACGATTAAAAAACATTAAATATACATAGCACAACATTAAATGAGTATCTCAGCGACGTAGTCAATAAGCGCGCGGCCCGTGATCGTTGTTATTAACGCAGAGGTCATTCACGGGATGGATATCCCGTGACTGACCTGTCCGACCAAAAATTACTGTCATGAGTTATACCGTACTTCAGAAGACACATTAAGCCATTGGTTCTGGCTGCATTTACAGTCATTAATACCCTCCAATCCGCATTGGGCCAACGTGGAGGGTCATGGCCTATTCCCCTTAACAATCCTTAAGGAAGGCCTGAGCCCCTGCACGTGGGGACATAAAAGGGCTGCTGATGCTAAAATGTAAATAAGCTAAGAAATTATGACCTCGAATATTTGCTAATAAAAATTTGTGCGCATTAGGGAAATTCATACAGACGTGAGAAAGTACGAAATATTAAGGTTACTTGGTGGACCACTATGTACATACTAATATAGTTAAGATCACGTTCTTAAACGTAAGTATTTATTGGTCATTGAATGTGAAACGTTTATACCGTATTAGTAATAAATAACTAGTAGACACTAGTATCTAGTATAACATTCGTATGACGATGTAATTTATGGGTTTATTACACTACTAGGATGTATTTAATCATTTAATTATTTGTTTATTAAGTTCACCAACGTCTGTTTAATCTATAACAACGCTGATACATTAGGAAAAATTATGGGGTAACGCAGTGTTAGAAGAAGGCGAAATTCTTGGTATTGATTTGGACGGAGCACTACATCCCTGTTCCAAGCTTCCCCCAATAGGATGCATATCAAGAAGAAGACAGACAACGAAATTAAAAGAATATTCCATACTAATATATCATACATCAAGTTGCACAAACATTCATTTAAAATGTCATTAGTTTAAAGCCACATTACTCATACAAATTTGACATTCATTAAAGCTTAAAGGCGTCATTAAACTCTAATAGACGTTTGTGCATTTGACCATTGATGAAATAGTTTAATCTTCACTATTCGGTATGTAGTCGTTGTTAGATAAAATCAAGAAAATTGTTGCTGGCTTGTTCGGTTTGTAGTCGTTGTTAGATAAAATTAAGTAAATAGTTGGAAAATAGAAACATGGTTGATTAAATTTCACGGATACGGAACTATTGTTTCAAGTAATGCGATAAATAAATCACAATTGAATATTTAATACCTAGATATAACTATCTGGATGAAATACCTAGATGTTCCTTTACAAATTATCTATTTCTTGATTGTATCGCGTCTGTTGTTAATGTGTTGTGTTTGTTCACTTGTGGGTTGTATAGTAATAAATAATAACATAATGTTTAATTCATTTGGGGCGGGCCTGGTGACGTGTAATACGGGATTGAACCTTAATAGGCAAGAGTCTCCCACAAATGATTCTTAAAAGGATAACTTTACTGTACATCCTTTTGTAATGTTATTTGTGGTGGAAATAACTTTTTTTTCTTTCCCGCCATAAAGTTATCCAAATCCTGGAAAATTAGAAGTCTGTAGGCGCAAGGTCTGGTGAGTACGGTGAATAACGGAGAACTTCTATCCCCAGCTCCTGAAGATTGGAGACCGTCTGCTGAGCAGTATGAGGTCGCGCGATGTCGTGCAGGAGCAGTGGCGACGAGCGATTGACCAAAGCAGGTTAGAGACGTGCGAGCTTCTCCATCATTGTGTTCAGTTCTTTACAGTAGACATCTGCAGTAATGCTCGTCCCGTTTGTTAAGAAGCTGTGATCAATTACACCCGCGTTATACCACCAAACAGTGACCATCACTTTTCTAGGGACTTACTATAAAGCTGGGCCGTGCCGGCTAAGGCGGTGTGGTGAATGAAATCCACCGGAGTCACGTTCCATGCAGTCAGAATTTCACCTACGATCTAGCCATACCACATATACCATACCATAGGTCCGTGTGGGTGGAGAGTTCCACAATTCATATAATAATCCAAGATAATGAAAAAAAGTTAATCCAAGGTTAAAAAATCGTTTTCGCATGAAAAGTAAAAGAAAAAAAAATCCACAGAATCAATCTTACTAATATCTAAAGTTGTAAGTTTTTCACTCATTGATCCAATAACTACTGAACCGATGCTGATAAGTTGGTAAACGGATAATTCTACACCTGGACTACTTTTTATACCACTAAACGAACGGTTCCCTAGGGACAAAAGTACCATCAAGCTATCATGTATGCCATACGAGCGAAGCCGCTTGGAGGAAAGATGTATATTCTTTATAGGTTTATATTTTAAATAGATAGTAATTCCATATCGTACCATCAAGCTATCATGTATGCCATACGAGCGAAGCCGCTTGGAGGAAAGATGTATATTGTATATTATAGGTTTATATTTTAAATAGATAGTAATTCCATATCTGTATAGAATATCGCAAATACCTACACTATTATCAAAACACAAGTCAGCTTGTGGGAAGACAAAACAATTGAGGTCGATAGGTATATTATGAGTAAAGCAGGTCACCCCACCATCGCGTCGCATCGTGTGGGCATAATACGAAGTTAAAAAATAGAGTCAAACATCTATCAGCTTATGAATAGAATATTGCAGAAATAAAACAACTAACGGGTGCGTCCGCCAAAATTCACCACATAATTGGATTAATTTATTTTGTACAAACAAAAGACGTCCAAATAATAAAAACCAGTCAAGTGTGAGTCACAGTCCTTCACCTAGGGTTCCGTATAAATAATCCTACCAGCCCTGCGATTCTGTAAAAATTCAAACCTGGTTTAATTGGTAATAATGTTTTGTGGCATACGTAAAGTGAGTTTCAAAATGACATAGGAATAGAATATCTGAGACATGTATAAGCAATAAATTTGTTTTGTATGTTCATACTAAATAAAATTTAATTAATAAGACATTTGAAAACACATTCACATCTTGATATAATTATAGTGTGAGTGATAGTTTTATATTTCATAAATATATTCAGAAGCAGAATAAAAATAAATTTATTACGTGCATCATTTTCGAACCTTCCTAATATGTTGACCATATGTTGCTTTAAATAGGACTGAAGTACAGGATACTAGGTAGTAGCCGATTAGTCATGTCTTATAGTTAACAAACCATGCGAAAACATAATATTTATATAATATTTTACATATTTTTGTGATTATAATAAAGTATTTTACATAACTCAATTTCTTTTATATTATTTCAAATATATGTATAATATACACTGTTACTACAAAGTAAACTCAGACTTGTACAGTCATTTTATATAATTTAATTTGTATACATAATAATATACCAAATTATATATACCATATACACCAAATTATGTATACATATACCACCATAAAATAGTGATGAAGAATATTTAATTTGTTATTTTGTCAATCAGGATTCTCAAAGATTATAGCACACATATTCTTTAATTTTTGCATTACCAAAAAATAATAATATAATTTAATGCACAGAACAAAAATAAAGTTAAAGAATCACAAAAAAAAATAGTTAACAAAAGGCTGCCTTATTGCTAAGCAATAATCTCTTACAGGCAACCTATGGAGGATAAAAAGTGTGTGAAACATAAAAAGGATTCAAGATACATCTTAATAAAATAAATAAAAATTATATGTAAGTAGATAATATTAATATAAAGAAAAGAAATAGTTCTTAACTCTATCACCAAAAGAACAAGTGAGCGAGATTCCTTGACACCCTCTCGAAGTGAATTCTGTAACTGCATCACACAGCATGAGCACAGAAAAGGCATAGAAAAAAAAGTCAGTAGAAAGATGACGAAACAAATGTCCAAAGTGAGATTAGAAGAAAAAGTAAATTATGACGATACACCGAGTTGTAATGCCATATGTATGACAGCACACCTTTGTGTATTTTCTACATAGATATGAAGCCCCTGCTCCGCAACTTTAATGCCTATTATCTAAACTTATTTTTTTCTATTATCTATCTGACAACCAAATAGAATTCCTTTTTTTTACTTAAGCATCATCCCTATTGTTAAAACTGCTAGATTATAAACTATCAAAAAGTATAGCTTTAATTTATTTGCAAAACGGTGTGGGTAACAATATTTTTATTCAAATTCAAATTCTTTATAGCTTACAATGTCATGAGATGTATTATACATAACAAAGGCATTATTACCATTTTACTTCTTCTTCATAACAACTATCGCATGCTGCAGCGCTTATCCACTAGGCCACCTAATTACTTCTTCTTATATTAATTACTCAGGTCAACAACTATTCTACCAACATTATGCAATGTAAACAATTTTAACCAAAATTGAATTTTTTAATTACTGATGTCTTTCCACAGGCATTTAATCAGGTCAACACAAAAAAAAGGATGACTTTTTTGTAAGGTGATTCTTACTAACTTGCGTCAACTCAAATTTACACTCAACAAGTCAAGTGTTTATTTAACTTTTCAACACCATCAAGATTTTATCATAATTCAACCACATTTTTGAGATATTAAAAAAAATAATAAAGGAACCGTTCTTAGTTCTTTATTGATATTTACTTACCCAATTAGTGTATATTACCCAATTTATTATTTATACACACCACCAGCCCTTTTACGTCCCCACTGCAGGGGCTCAGGCCTTCCTTATGGATGGTTAAGGAGGATGGGCCATGACCCTCCACGCTGGCCCAATGCGGATTGGAGGGTAATATTTATATAGACATGCATTTAAGGTCTCACTTCAGTGAATTTACACAATATAGATTATTATATTTGCATGTTAGCACTAAACTGAACTTTTCTATTCATTTTTAATGAATAAGC